GTTCAAGAGTGGCCAGAATGGCCCGTTTCAAATCTGGAACGGCCCGTTCTGCACCCCTTCATCATGTGTAAAAAATCACATGCAAAACGACCCGTTCTAAAACCAGAACAGCCCGTTCTAGGACTCATCCAGAACGGCCTATTCTCCATCCAGAACGGCTCGTTCTCCATCCAGAATGGCACGTACTCCCTCCAGAATGCCCCGTACTCCATTCAAAATGGCTCGTACTCCATCCAGAACAATCCATTCTCAACTATGATTTACAGGTCAATTTAGTAGTTTGGAACCGCCGGTTCCAGATTGGGAACGGCCTGTTCTGAGCTACTAAATCACCATATTGGACTTTTGGGCCTTCTGAAATAACTTACTACGTTACATTAACAAATGACCACAACATCCTTTCTTGCCTTCTCATAAAACAATTAAAATAATTAAAATATATTTCCTCCTTTTTAATAAATAACATACACATAACTCTTAATAAAAATATATTTTCATAAATATACATTCCATGTCAATTAATCAAAATACTAATTAAAATCCATGTTTTATATTTTAAAAAAAGCTCATATAAAATAGATTAATAATATAAAATATACTTCTCTCTTTTAGTAGAAATTGTAACAGCCCAATTTTCAAGGATTGTGCGAAGGCCTAAAGCCCAATAAGGGTTATGTAGTAGCCCAGAACGGGTCGCTCCCAGATTGGAACGGACATTTCCAAACTACTAACATGAGGGTGATTTAGTAGCCTAGAATGGTCGTTCCCAAACTGGAACTGGCTGTTCCCAAATACAAAAATTGTCCACAAATTTTAGATGAAAACGGGGCGTTTCCAAATTGGAACAGGGCGTTTCAAACCACCAAAAAGGCCTATAACCCTAGTTGGGAATGATCCGTTCCAAATATGGTCGTTATGGGTTAAATGCAACCCCAGAACGGGTTGTTCTGGTTTGAGAACGGGTCGTTCTGGTTGTGAACTTCACACATAACGTAAGAGTCCAGAACGGGCCATTCCGGATTTGAAACGGGCCATTCCGGCCACTCCTGATGCCTATAAATAAAGTGCTCTAGCACTCCCAAAAAGAACACCTTTCAGTTCTGACTTCTTTCAGTTTTGACTTCTTTTCCTTCTACATTCTCTGAAGACCGAGGGGAACCCAGAGGAGGAGACCAACCAGATCCTGCTCTAGTTTCAGCTACTTTTTATCGAGGTACGGGAAAAAAAGGGAGATTTATATGTAAAGTTACATGAGAAAATTGGGTAGAGAAAGTGTCCTTTAGAATTATGGGTAATTTTATAATTGTTTCTGTTTGAGGAATTGATGATCCCATTAGATTCTGTATGTATTGAGGATTAGAAATATATATTTAATTTGTGAAAATGATGATCTGGGAGAGAGAACGAAATTGTAGAAAAGTGCATGTGAGTTAGGTTTTGGAAAAATTGGGGGTTTTACTATTTGATTTAATATTGTATTAAATTGGTGAATTAATTGGGTTTTATATTAATTTATAAATATTATTGTTATAGATGTGTATTCATGGTGAATTGTTTGAGGGGTATGTGAATCATTGTATTGTGTGGACTTATCTGTATGTAATATGGAATTTGAGTTATGAGATGGGATGTTGTATTGAATATGAATATGATGTGATTGTGGTTTCTCACACTAATGACTAGGGATGAGACGACCCTTGGGTAAGTGATGCTACAGGGATGGCGTGCCCCTGACATAGTGTGAGATGAGTGAGCCAATTAACACGTATCACTTATGTTAGATGTGGCGTGGCCTTGGCATAAGGTTATTGTAAGATTTGTGTGGATTGTGAATGTGATTGTGGTTCCTCACACATATGACCAGGGATGAGACGACCCTTGGGTAAGTGATGCTACAAGGACGGCGTGCCCCTAGCATAGTGTGGGATGAGTGAGGCAATTAACCGTATCACTTATGTCAGTTGTGGCGTGGCCTTGGCATAGTGTTAATTGTAAGATTTGTAATGATTGTGATTGTGATGTGATTGTGGTTCCTCACACATATGACCAGGGATGAGACGATCCTGGGTAAGTGATGCTACAGGGATGGTGTGCCCCTAACATAGTGTGGGATGAGTGAGGAAATTAATACGTATCACTTATGTCTAGAGTGGCACGACCTTGAGGTGGCGTGACTATTGACATAGTGTTAATTGCAAGATTTGTGATAGATTGGTGTGAGTGTGAAATTGTGATGTGAATATGATGCATGATTGATATAATTAGAATGTATGGATATGCTTGTAAAGACTTCATTAATTGATGAGTTATGATAAGATTATGTTTTGTTTTTCCTTGTGTTCTTTACATATAGATGTTTTATTTTCTCACCATATAATTTGTGGATATTTTAGGTGAGGAAGATCCGGCTTTGAGTGACATCTAGAATGTTAACTATTGAATTGTGGGTGTGTTCTGGTATTGTTACATCGGGGTAGAGAATTTCTAGGATATGGAATTTTTATATGAATTTGGAGTTGTAATTATTATTTTTAAAGACAAGTTGTAAACTTTTATATTTTATTTTCCAAATTTTATTCATGTTGGACATTGAAGATCATTTGTGGAGGTTTTTATGTGAACCCTTTTACCAATACGTACGTTGAAAAAATTTATTCCCTTTATTTAATTACATTATTACGATATATGTGTTGGTGGTAATAAGGGTGTCACAGAAATAACATAAGTTTTATATCAAAATAAAGCTCATATAAAATAGCTAAATAAATTTTAAAATCCTTCTAATAAATACATTAAAATTAAAATAAATACTTACACATTATTAATATAATTTTATGAAAATCAGGGTGTTACACCTTAGGCACCTGCCTCAACTGAGTGGCGCCTCCACCACTTGCGCCACTTGCTCTATGTGTCACTACAAAGAAAACACATCCCTTCTATGCGCTATGCATATCCTTTTTGTCGTATTCGAACTTCCCTATCTCTCTTGCGCCAACTGTGGTTTTTGCCATGTGGCAGAAACCACATATAATGATTTTTTTTATTTCGTGTATTTTATTTAATTTTTATTTATTTTTGCCAAAAGCCTAATATAATAATATAAACATGAGTCATAATTTTCCCTCTATTTTTTTTTAAATGTATCAAAATTATTTTTAAATTATTTTTTATCTCCTTAAAATTTATAAAAAAAATTATATGTTAATAGAGAAAAATTATCTTGTTAGTTTACACATAAAAAAAAGAAAAAAATATAATTGATATATAATATGATAAAAAAAAGTATAAATGATAATAAACTATTTATGATGTTAAAATATTTATATATAGTGTTAAAAAAATCTTAATTCTCATTCAAGTCAAATTTTTAACTCTTCTTTTACTCAAATTAATCTAATTAAAATAAATTGTGGTACATGATAGACCACTTTTAAAAATACTCTCCACTTTAGTCTCCACTTGAACAAAAATTAAAATTTATTTTTATGAAGAAAAGTATAATTTTTAAGAGACGATTGTTTGACTTCAGTTTTTAAATAATAATTTTTATTGTTAGTCTTTTTTTTTTTTTTTTTAAGAAAAAAGAGACAGTGACATACTAGGAATATTTATTTAATTACAATCATGATGGATAATTAAATAATATATATACTTAAATTGAAATAACAAGTTATTAATGAAAATGATAGTACATATCATATGAGAAAAAAATTCACTAAAAATAATAATAATAATAATTTATTATTATTATTATTTTATATAAAAATTAGTCATCTCCATACCAATAATATGGTCAAAACAAAACTCATAATCTCTCGGGTTTACTTTCTCGGTTAAATTGTTTTTAGTTGTTGTTAAAAATCATAAAAACCCAATATTCTGGTTTTATTTTCTTATTATTAAACGAATAATCTCAACAATAACATGCTAACGTCCGACATATTTATTTAATTATTCCAACCACGACGTTGAAATAAGATATGATTGTTTAATTTGACACGCATACCTTAAAAGTTGAAAATAACATAATACTAGATTCGAAATTCCAAATCAATGATCAAGTCCAACATATTCTGCAACCAGTTGCTCGGACTCCATCCCTTTAATAAGATTTCGAATTTAATTTTTTATATGAAATTATTAATTAATTTAAATTTTCAACAAAAAATTAACTATGAAAAGAAAACTGTGATTTAATTATAAGTTTAAATTTTTCAATGAAATAAACTATCAATAATTTTCTTTATTTTGTTTTAATGTTTTAAGACTTCACTAATTAAAAGATAAACAAAATTTGATTAAAAATTATTCTTATTAAAGATCAAATTTACACGGTTCACGTGGTTTACAATTTTGTTAATATAAGATAATTAAAAAATAAAATAAAAAATTTAACATATTCTAAAGTCAAAGATATATTTTGAATTATTAGGATTAGTCCGGTAGTTTGATCACTTGATGGAAAGAGATTGAGGTAGTTAGAAATATGAGAACTTAAATTTAATTCGACCATCTATATAATCTTTCTTATCTTTACTTAAAAAAAACTTAAATATATTTTTAGTCCTTTAAATTTAGGATAAATTTATTTTTAGTCTCTTAAATTTAAAATTATTGTTCAATTCCTATAATTTTAAAAAATCTTATTTTAATCCTTATATTCAAATTTTGTTAAAAAACTTATCAATTATTACATAATATTTACTTATTAATAAAAATATGATATTAAATTTAATTGATATTACATAATTATCTTAATTAGTTACTTTTAAATATGTTAATGGTAACTTAAAAGATTAAAATAAAATTTTTAAAAATTTCAAAAATTAAAAATAATAATTTTAAATTTAAGAGACGAAAAATAAATTTATATTAAATTTAAGAATTAAAAACATACTTAAAAAAAAAAAAAAGTCAAAATAAGAAAAAAAAAAGTCAAGAAGCGAGTCTCAGAGTGACGATTCGTAACGCATGGCACATTGGGTACCCATAACCCAACCCAACACCTAGTCCAATCCCAGTTTTCCCCTGTGCCAGATGCGCCTTCCCCACGTGACACCACAATAACAACAACACCAACAATCCATCATCACGTTCACAATCACAACACAACCCTCCCTCGTGCGTGCGTTCCTTCCTTCTTCTCCACTTTTCCTCTCCAACCAAACCAAAAGGGTCAAAAAAATTAAAAACCCGAAATCCGCTACTTCAATTCCTCTCCTAATTTGCGAGCGAAAAATAAATAAAACCAGAAATCCTTTCCCAGGAACCTTCCTCTCCGATTCATCACTCATCAGAATCCATGGGATCCTCCTTCGATCCAACGGTCAACGTCTCGCCGAACCTTTTCCCCTCCAACGGCCGCGATTGAATCCGCCAGATCCAACGGTCAACGCTCTCCTCTTTCGAGATTCGAAAAAATGAAGGTGGCGAAATCTCGCGTGTGGCAGCCCCTGAAGAAGAAGAGGCTTTAATATATACTTATATATATATATAGATATAGAGAGAGAAAAGGTTGTTGCAGAGAGAGAAAGCGAAAGATGACGTCACGTTCTTCGGCGCACGGTAGCAGCGGTGGTGGGAGTGGAATGAGCAGGACCCGTGTGGGGAAGTACGAACTGGGTCGGACCCTGGGCGAGGGCAATTTCGCCAAGGTCAAGTTCGCGAGGCACGTCGAAACTAAAGAGAATGTCGCCATCAAGATTCTCGACAAGGAAAAGATTCTCAAGCACAAAATGATTGCCCAGGTTTTTTCATTTCTCTTTTTTTATTTTTCCTTTTTTTTTCTCCTTCTTTTACTGAATATATATATATATATATATA